CCCCCCCCCCCCCCAAACACCCACACATTTGAACTTTCCCCGTCGCCCCCGTGGCCCAGATTGCCACATCCATAACCCATGGGACTTTCGCCCCCCCCCCCCCCACACACACACAACATTCCCCGTCACCCCCGTCGACCTTTGCCAGATCCACAACGGGTGGGACTCTCAGGACGAGGCTCTCATCGTGGCGCTGAACCACGTGGTGTTGTATGTCTCCGACCGGGGCTTCGTCGTGCCTGCGCCGGTGCGGGCGTCGGGGGGCAGCCTGGTGTCTACGGAGATGCTGCCGGTCGCGTCGGCCACGGGGGCAGCGGGGAGCGGGGGCGAAGAGAAGAGCGAGATGTGAGGCTGCTGGGCTCCATACTGTCGTTGCTGTTGGTGGTGGTGGCGGTGTGGCTGCTTGCTGTTGTTGCCGATGTATTCCGTGGGTTTGGCTTGTAGGCATGACGCTTCCGTGTGCGGTGGGCGACAATAACAATATCTTGTCCTTTCTAATATTGATGTTCTGTTGTTGGAGCCGCGGAAGATGGGCTGCAGCCGTGCTGGCTACGCCTGAGAGCTATCCAGAACCAGAACATACCCTATGCTTCCGGGGGTAATCAACTCTTTCGCCGCCACCGGCTCTCTTGTCGCACATACTATGAACAAGGCACGATCTGAGCTGAGTACCCGCACCAGAGCGCCAGTGGTATCCCAACAGAGGGGGCTCAGAAGTCCACAAGCGAGCTGGACCCATTCTTCTTTTTTGTGGTGAACACGCCGAACGTTAGGAGAGCCCACGAACGTTGCATACGGGCACGATCGTACAATGGGAACATGATAATGATGGTAATAGATTCTGCCCCCGTGCCACAAGTACTCTCTAGTTGATGCGTTTACAATGTATGGTCGAGGGAGTAGGGGTACACCTACAGTGACACCCGTAGGAGTTTGGTTGTTTCGCCTCCGGTTGCAATGCCCTACGGCGCTCGCATCGTCATTTTGTTTTTGGCCACGTGGTATGCAAACCGAAGGGACGACGTCAGTTTTGTGTTGGTGTGATGGCCATTGCGCTGGTGCTGCCGCTGGTGCTGCCGCCGCCGCTGCCGCTATTATTGCTGCTGTTGTCGCGCCGTCAGTTTGCGTTGGTGTGATGGCCATTGCGCTGCTGCTGCTGCTGCTGCTGCTGCTGCCGCCGCCGCCGCCTCCGCCGCCGCCGCTATAATTGCTGCGGTTGTCGCCATTCCGAAACCTAGTCCGAAACGGCACTTTTTGTCCCTTTAAGGTTTTCCGTGCGTTTTACGGTTTCTTATCATGTCTCACCGGGTCGTAGGTTGTCGGTGCGGCTCCTGAAGTGGGTGGAAGGACCAATGATGAAGAGCAGCGAGGTGACACCGGAGCTCATGGAGAAGACCGGCGCCTACCTGGGCCGGATGCAGGTCGAGCTCGACAACTTTTACGACAAGTCTCTCCTCAGAGGGCATACGTGGTGAGACGTGCGTTTGAATGGGGTGCATTGAGTCGGGGAGTGTGCTGAGATGCAAGTTCGGGGTGCATTATGTCAAGGGGTGTTGTCACGAGATGTGGTGAGATGTGTCTGGGGATTATGATATTCAGTGCATACCCATATGATCCAGCAGTAAGAATTAATATTCATCGGAAGCCCTCGGCAAAGTCAGGCAACAGTGATATTTCGCCAATAAATACTTACACCAGTCTCTGGGGTTTCGTAAATATAGGCATACCAGACGATGTGAAAGGCATGTGTGGCGTCACACAAAGCCAACCGCGTGGTCGCGCGCGCGTTGTTTGGATTCTCGTGGTACTTTCCAATGCGTACCGCATCTTCTCTGTTTTTCGTTTTTTGTCAATTTTTTTCCTGTGGATTATTGTTTCCCTTTGTTTCCCTTTCTTTTCGTCATAGTCCCTGTGCATGTTGTTTTCGTTAATTTTTTGTTTTGGCCTGTGTTTCTGTGTTAACATTTTCCAGGGACCTGAAGAATACAGGCGCGTTGTCGGGCTACACGAAGTACGTGCAAGACCCCGCTAGGCGTGCGCTCGCGGAAAGCGTCATCGAGGCCTTCCGGTCGACCGTTTTGACCACTAGCGCTCACTTCCGTCACGGTGTCGTCCACGTAGGTCACCTGTGTACTCCGTTGTTGTTTGTTCGTCGTTGTTATTGTTGCTGCTGCTGCTGTTGTCGTTGCTGTTGTTGCTGCTTTTTTGCCGTCTGTCGTCGCGTGATGTGCGTTTGTTGTGTCCTACCGTTACGTGTGCTTGTTGCTGCTTTCGTTCTAAACAATTGTGGTGTTACTGCTGCTGTTCATGTTGGCGTTCTTGGCGGGGTGTCACTCGCTACTCGCTGTTGAACGTACTACCTGCAGCTCTCGGTCTACCGTCCTTGGCAAAAAAGAGCGCGTTATTCAGTGATTTGCTGTGGGTAGTGTCCATGAGTTCGTGTGGGCGTCCTCCTTGTCTCGGTTTTTTATCTACCACACGCTAAAGGCAAGGGGGGGGGGTACCGTAGCTCCCCACCTCCCTCGTGCAGTCCTGTTTGATTGGGTGTCACCCGCCTTGTTTTTGTTTGTTCCTGGTGTCTGCGTGGTATTTTCTGTTTTTTTCTCCGCACGAAACCCGCATCCCCTCAACACCTCTCCCTCCCGGCCCGGTTTGTTCACAAATGTTGCAAGCGTTTGTCGGGATCATGAGAGTCCACAATCTGCCCCCCCCCCCCCCCCCCCACGCGCTCTTTTCTTTCCTCTCCCGTGACACGGTAGTGGTCCTGATAGAATGCCGGTTGAACAATGCCGGGTACCCGCTACATTGCCGGTGAAAACGCGTGACGCAGATGGCATATCCAGGTTGTTTCATTCTCTGAATATTGTCGGGTACCCGGTGATGCTGATCAACTCGACGTTTCACGTATCGGCCACGTATCAAGATCACCACCGTTTTGCCACTGCTTTGTTTTGCTCTTGCCGGTCGAACGAACAAACTCGCGACACAGGGCGACTTCAACGACGCAAACATCATCCTGACCCCGGATTTCCAAGAGGTGGCAGGCGTTATCGACTTCGGGGACGCGGCGCACACCTGGGTCGTGAACGACGTTGCCATCGCCATGGCCTACGCTATGCTGTCCCCCCTCGCCAAGTGAGACTGTGTATAACTTGCTGAGTGTCCACGATCAGTCAGAACATTCTCTTTGCTCTCAAGTTTCGCCACTATGTCATGTTAAGTATTGCCGGGTGTCAGCACCCATGCATGCGATCCGACATAGATTTCTGCGGTAAAACTAGCCAGGGCGAACGCCGTACTGTTTCTCCTTGTCAAGTGAGACTGGGCAGAATTGGCGATTTCACCCTCAAGTCAGACCATTCGGATCGAGTGTTCAGCTTGTCGTCGGATGCTTACTCTTTGCCCCTTCCACAAGCACTTCTCGCACTACGTATGTCCAGAAAATTGATGCGTTACACCGCTTTCGACGTCTACAATCTTTTGTTCTTCCACTCTCTTCAAGTTTTGGCGTAACTCCACCTACGGCGGCCGCGCCGTGCTTTTCAGTTACCTGCTTGCGTGCGTGCTACAACTCTTCTTCGGAAAACGCGTGCCAGGGAATCTGGGGATCCCATAACCGCCGCGGCGTTGCTCCTGCGGGGTTTCTCTTCCGTGAAGGCGTTGCTGCCGGCCGAGAGCCGACACCTCAGGGTCCTCGTCGCGTGCCGCCTCGCGGCTTCAGGCACCCTGGGAGCATACTCGCGACAACTTGTGAGAGTTCAAACGGGTCTATGCAGAGCTCTTGACGAGATCTTCGTCGTGCACCGAGTGCTAACAATGACCCCCTTTGGGGGCCCGACTTGCTTGTGCCACCACCTACGAACCGCTACATCCAGTCAACAAAGACGGGCTGCTCGTACCGACTAGACCACCTTGAGTCCACAGCCGTACCAAACCATCCCCGCATTCGGGGGAACAGACATACCAGATGGCCCCGTTGCCGAATCGTATTATCAGGGAACCAGACTTGTTGTACCACGTTGGCTGCATGAACACAGCGGTAGCAGTGTAGTTGCCCGGTAACTGGGCACGCAAGCTATTGGCTTCCGTCGCCCCCCCTGACGAAAGTCGGTCCTGCTTTGCGCTCTCTGACACCGGGACGGCTGCTTTGGCGCGAAAAAAGAACCCGACGAACGAGTATCTTTCGGTGCACGCCGAGGCCTGCTGGGACGCTCTTGACCTCCTTTGGACTCGCGTGCCTGAAGAACACACCAAGGTGAGAGGTGGAAGAGGACATCGGATCAAAGAGACAGGGAGAGGGGAGAGACGCAGGCGGGGACGTAGAGGGAGGCAGGGACGGAGGAACGCCGAGGCGAGGTCACTGAAAGAGATGAGGTATGGAACCGATAGAGATTTTGAGATAGAGACAGACATACGAAGGTGAGGCCACTAGAACACGGGAAGTGGGTGTAGGCAGAAATAGAGAGCGAGATGGAGTGAGACAGAGATACAGAGAGACAAGGAGGTGGAGCCACAGAAGACGGGCAGACGTGCAGGACACCCATAGACGTGAAGGCGGAGACGGATGTGGATAGACACGGGCAAACATATGTTGTGGAAATTGAGTAAGACGGATGCAGGGAATTTAGGGGATAATTTTGCAACCACAGGCAGACGGACAGGACCACACGAGAGGTGGGCAGATAGAGACGCAGGGATTAGACGGGAAGCGACAAATAGAAACGTCGAGAGACAGATACGAACGGACGAAAGGAAGAGATAGGTGAAGTACGGGTTTGTGTATGGAGTTCCTGCTGGGAGTATGGTTTTAGGTGGGCGGAATACCGGGGTTATGTAGTAGCGGAGATGGTGGAGAAGACAAGGCAAAGCCGAGGATCGTGGATGTGGAGACACGCGGGGCTGGATTAGGAAGGTGGAATGCCAGAAGCAAGGTGAAGTGCCAGCAGGAGAAAGAGAGAGCGAAGGGGGAGAGAGGAAGAACGAGGGGGAGAGAGAGGGAGAGAAGTACAGGGGAGAGTTCCAACGTCTTTTCGGGCACAAGGCTTTGGTGAGAAGGGGAAGAGCAGTTAAGGTGTGAAGTCAGAGAGGAGGACATATGGTACAGGAACTTGAAGGGACGTGTAACAATCGGGGTAACGTAGAGTTTCATCCTAAGACAGCAATAATCATGTTGACCTGAACCCTCATCGCCGTGCAATGGAAGGCAAGCACCGCAGGGGGAGAAAACGCCAAAGAGTAAATCAGTCCCGATGTAGATTTGCTCTCCAGAATAGCTGGGGCGACAACACACACCCAAAATAACACAGGGATACGCCGGCAGGGATGAGGAAGGGCCAAGGGGAAGACGCCGTCAGGATTCATAACTTTGGAGGGCGGAAGAGAGACTGACAGGAAGACAGCTAGGTAGCGTTTGTGAACGGACACGTTCGGGAGAGGTGGGCGGAACGGATGCGGCAGCGGCAGCATCTTCGATCTCAGCAGCACCCGCTTCCCCAAACCGCCCGTCCGACGACTGACGCATGGCCGCACACTCCTATGCACTCTTCTGCGCACAATTTAAACACAGCATCCTGGTTCACCCGCGCGCGTTTCGTCAAAACACAGCGAACGGTTCTCTTGTCCCGAAGAGTGTCAGGACAAACAGCAGTACGTGCGCTCTGCGGTCGTCGGACTAAAGTACATCAAATATCTGGGTTCGAAGATGTTGGACGATTTTGTGTATGGAGGTGTCGATCTTGGAAGCCTAGACTACGGGGCTGGTGGGAAAGAGTATGGGGTCACTGGCAGACTGACAATAAGAGAGAGAGAGAGAGAGAGAGAGAGAGAGAGAGAGAGAGATAAATGGTCGGTATCCTTAGCGCATTCCAGAGGGGTACGTCTCCTCGATGACGTCGAGGAGGTCGCGAAACCCTCGCTTGGGTGTAAAACGCGCCGAGAGACATGCACAGCAGAAAGTATCTCACCATCTGTAAGTGCTGCAGCAAAACACTCTTCTGCACAGCTGCGCTCTGTGCCATTCGCTACTACTCCTGCATCTATGTGTGTTGTGCGTGCAAAATATTGTATGAAAAACACATACAATATCCTACGGCACAAGACGATACGGTAACACGATCGATATTGCACATGAAACCGATGCCTCTCTTTCGCAAAAATATTTCGCAAGGTACGTTTCGGATAGTGTCCCTTACTATCCGCACACCTCACAATGAGAATGAGTACACGGTGCAAGCTAGAGCGGCCGCACGATGGGTACAGTAGGACTGCTGTGGAAAAAGCTCCGTACACAGCAGTAGCTCACACGTACTGCGTACCTGCGGTTGTATCCCTCCCTTTAAACGAGACGGAACGCGGCGGAACCAAACTGTCAACAGTCCCGTGATCGCTCTCTCCCTGCCCTTGGGTCCTTTTGGGTGGTGACAAGAAATACTCGAGCTCACTTAGGGCCATCTGCCGTGTAGTGCTGTACTTACCTGAGAGGCAAAGTGTAACTGCTAATGCCTGTTGTAGCTTGTAGGCGGGGCTCTTCATGCAGCACTGCTGTTGCACGAGCAGCAGCATTGTCTCTCCCCATGCTCTTGATGACAGCTGCGGCATGTAAGCAGGCCAACGCATCGGCGGCGGCGGCAGCAGCAGTGCGACGAGCAGTACCACCGTCGCTGAACAAAACATCGCGTGTTGTTGCCGGCTTCATCCATGTCCCACCAACGGTCGATCGGCATCGTCATTCTCCTGTCTCTGCTGCTGCTGCGGCGGCGACGGCCGCGACAACTGCAACAACACCGCCCACGACCATGCAGGCTCTCTGGGAAAAGGCGATGATGCTCGCCTCGGCTAGGGTCATCACCGAGGTGAGCCAGACACAGAAAGATATTTCTGTAGCATCGCTGTCCTTTCGTTGAAGATCCCGATGCCTCTGCTGTCAAGAGCCACTTGATACAACTTTCTTTACTGCGTTCTGCCGCTGGACATGTGACAGACTACGTGTAGTCTAGACTGCAGTAGATCTAACCTATTCCAGGCCCAGGAATTGGCGGCAAGGTAAAAGCAAACGCAGTCTACCGGTAGTAGCTTGGGAGAATTTCTATGAAGGAACATCCACGGGAGGGGAGAGAGCATTCAAGATTCGCTGGCGAGGTTGGTCATGCTGCAGGCGTGCGTCTAGTGTAGGGTATGCACCACAGGTCGCGTAAGACACCACACACCCTGCTGAGACCGGTTTTCAAATTTCGAACACTCTGCAGCAAGCAGAGTGACTGTGCTCAAAATGGGGGCGCGTTGGATTCGTCTACAGTAGTCGAGCTATCAGAAAACGTGTTCTGTCGTGTGAGTTGGGATCCTCCCTATGTCGTTGAGTACTCGAGCCGTACGTTCTAGGGGGCGTGGTGACTTAACTTTTGCAGCCTGCGGTACGCCTTTGTCCGAGAACAATGCAAGGACGCGCTCTGTTCTTTACCCCACAGCAGTGTCAGCGTAGATGCGGGGGTGGCGTGTGGCGTGCCCCGGTCCTTTTAAGGGAGGATGGCGTTCCATGTCGCTTCAAGTGGTGATCAAAGAGAACCTCCACAGAAGCAGTATCTAGAGTTTTTTGTCGGAGCATGATTTAGCGGCCGATGGACTAATGCGGTGTGTGAGACTCCGTTTACGGCTGCGTAGGCCATTCTCGAGAACATATGGTATACATACGAGAAATGCCTACCTGTCTCTCTACTTGGTGCTTGGTACAAGCACCACGCATTGCTACTACAGCCCAGCGGTACAGACGTGTCGGGCAAAATCAGAACAATTTTTGAGCCTAACAGCGGCCCCACAATACAAACTAGGCATAATTCAAGGGAGAGCGCATATCGAGCTTGTGTTGTTTCTATTGCGTCGCAGGTATGTACGGTGCCCCACCCACCCCCCACCCCCCCACCGCTCGAAAATAGCTTTGTGGGGAAGCATGGAAGCTTGCCGTCCTAAATCTCTTGGTACATGCAGACATTAGTGAAATCATCGCTACTGCCGTTGTCCGTGCCGATCCCGTCGTCAGATTACCGCGATAGTTCCACAAAATCCATCTGGCAACTCCGATTCAACCCCCGGTACATATTCTCGAGATTGTGTACATAGCGGCGCCCTGTACCGACCTGTCCTCTGTGTACCCTTTCGCTTCCTGCCCAGACATGAAGGTACCGAGCCGTACTGCGGTCGACCAATCAGAAAGAAGGGCAGAGGCAGCAGCAACAACGCCGACTAGGGAACTCGACCGCGAACGGACGGCTGAAAGAACCCCCCCCAAAAACGAAATGGACATTTTTTAGTGCGAAACGAGCCGAACTCGTCTGGTGATTGTGTGTGTGTGCATACGTGGTCTGAAGTAGCGTCGACCGCGCAAACTGGCTGGCCAAGGAGTGTATAAGCCAGTCTTGTGTGTGTGTGTGTATCGTCCCTTTTATTTATATTCCCCAGTCTTCACATCGTTCCAACTTTATTTCGACGCATAGATAGAGGTCACGCATGTATGCCTTTGTTAGTGTGTGAGTTCTCGTACTTGTTGGGTCAGTTCAACAGGAGATTGATCTGTTGTTCAAGACGTAAGACGTGCACAGCGGGTGCACCTCAAATCGTTGTCCCCCCTAGGAATGCATGATTCCAACCACTTTCGTCCGGTCCGTTGCCGATCTTGAAGCAAGAGCCCTCCGCTGTGTCGCGGCGTGCGGGGACAAGTCAGGCTGTTGCATGCAGCAGCACCAGCACCAGCACCCGCTCGTATTTCTAGTTCGTTTGCCACGCGGAAAGAAAGGGTTGGGCGCTCAAGCTGTCCACCAAGGAACGACGACGTCCACAACCGAGTGTTTTGTCTGTCTTTGCCGGTGAATAACCTGTTCCGCCCCAAAAACGATGAGAGGCCATGCGCCCGTGCCAGCCGAAGCTGCAGCAGCGCGTTGGGCGGGGGCGGTCACGGTTGATCGAAGACACAAGTCCGTCGGTGGTTGCAGCTACACGGGGGAAAGACCCGCGGGCACCCCGCAGGGTCGGCTTAGGTCAGGCCGATTCACCCGCCATACTCAAACAGTATTTCATGAAACAACTCGATTTTTATCCGTGCCGTTAGATTGACCCGCCGATTATCAGCCACCAGCCCTATATTACTTCCCCTACAGAGGCCCCTTGACTGTAAGCTCTACCACGACCGGTAGTTTACCTTGCTGGCTTCTTCGCAGGTAGTTCAGCCCACCTCTTCTCCTAGGTTGCCCGTCGCTGTTTTCGCGTCTTGCTTTGCGGTGGATTTGAGTTCGGCGGCTTTATCTCGAACGAACTTCTGCTCAGGGAGAGAAGTCTAAATCGACGTAGCTGATACAGCTGGAATATGGCTTGGAATAGGAGCACCCCCCCCCCCGCCCCCTCCCCGAAGTAGAACGCTCTATGATTGTTTCTATTCGCTGTGAAACGGCAGCCCGGAACATAATTCAAGCTTGGAGGCCAAACACCGCCGTTCGGAAGGCCGCCGCGATCCAACGAACATGGTAGTGTTTCTACATGCCGACCCCTTCGCGACTGGAGGGATTTGTTTGGGGTTGCTGTGTGTGCACGGAATACCGTGAGGATGCGAAGACTCGCAAGGGGAGTGTCAGTGTTTTTTCTTATAGCTTGGTTGCTCCACGACCGGGTACAATGAAGCTCTCGATGTGGTTCTCGTACCCCAAGCCCCCCGGTCACATGGTGCCACTTTCAACGATTTCATAAGATTTCCACCCGCCTTGTCTCCGCGACACATGATCTCCCGGCTACATGGTTCTCCGTGCGACAATTCCATGGGATTACCACCCGGTGTTTCCGTAAGCCACCCGGTTGCATGGTTCCACTTTTCCTTGCTGACGAATCTGCCAACGGGTACTGCACAGTTTTTTTCACCCATTTACGCTGAACGGTATCGTTGACGATATTTACCACAGAATATGGCTGAGATTTTCCCTTTTTTTTGTCAAGTTCAACGAGAGGCCGAAAATGATCTTCGTAGATCGAAGATGGCGTGTTTTGACAGCACGGCGGAATGAGCGGATGCTTGCAGACACTGCTGCTGAGACAAAAAAAATCCTTCGAAAACTCATTGGCCATCCACAAGAAAAAAACACGTAAACCACAACAAGACTCCGGTTCTCTGGGCGACATCGAAACGGACCAGACTCATGGTATGTAGCACCCCAGACAGCAGCACACCCAAGGCCACCGACATAGCTTTCTTCCCCCCCCCCTCCCCCGCCGCCGCGCAGTTATGCTGGGCGAGGGTAGGTACGCGGGAGGCATATCGACGCTGACCAGCACATGCTAGCTTAGATGGTCTCAGATGGATTGAATGCGAGATAATCCCGCAAAACGGAACCCGCACACCTGCCGAAACGTTACTTCCAGCTGGGCTGCTCAACGCGCGGTGGCAGCGGCGGCGGGGCCGGCAAGCGGGGCCGGCCACTGGAGGCGAAACCAGTCACATTCGTCACCGGCAATGCCAACAAACTGAAGGAGGTATGCCTATGTTGCGTGATGAGTACCATCGCGTTCTTTGTACGTCATGTTGTTTTTTTCCGGATCGAAGCCCTCAGCGTGCACCATGAATTAGTACCGCAAGCGTGTTTTTTGTTTTTTTCTGCGGTTTTTTCGTTCTCGGCCCATTCGCTTTTGTATCATTTACTTTTCTTGGTCGCACCCCGCAAGGAGAAACACACACAAGCTCGACGACGTATTTCTTACCTACAGTCTCTATTTTGTGTCTGTTTTCCTTGTTTTGTACAGTGTTGCTCGCTTCCCTTCTGGTTAATTTCGTTCGGTTAGTGCTTTGAGTGGTCGGCCGAGAAACATGGTGAAGGCCCGCCATCTCCGTGACCGCGATAATAATTGAAGTAAATAAATAACGCCGGGAGGCGAAAACAACGAAGAAAATAACAAGTATCGCTGTTTCTTACGCCCTCCTCTGTGTTCGACAAACGCGGTACTCTTGAGGGTTGGTAGTAAGGCATGCACGCGGTGCTCCGAGGGAGAAAAGTAGCATGCAACCCGGAGAATGTTCCTCGAGGAGGTCGGCCCGCCCTCTCCTGATATTTCGGAAGGGCGGCAGAACGTGCGGTTCGGTTTGCCTGCGCCCATGACGTCCCGGACGTTGGTTCCTGATGCTGCATCAAGCATCGACGTCATGGACGCCGGAAATCCGATCCGCATGTTGTGCCCCCCTTGCAAAATATCAGAAAGAGGCAGGTGGACCTCCTTCAGGTGCAGATGGAGGACTTTCCCCAGGAAAGTCTGCCTTCCTGTGATAATTGCAAGGTAGCAGCGTTACACAGCAGTCCCCACCACACGAGGGTGAAGCAAGTGCTTTGTACCATTTCGTCACAAAGGTTTGCTTGTTTCGCTGGGTAGTTCCGAATTCCGAGTTCTGTTGTAACTTCAAGCGCTCCCAACAATACACCAATCGACAGCAGTGCCGTCCAATCACAGCAGCGTTTATCGACAGTCTCGGGTGCAGCAGATGCAGGCGCGAACACATGAATCGGCGCGGTTTCCACGGCGCGGGCAGCTTTGTCCGGCGCTCGGCGCCCGGAGCCCTTGGTGGCGGCGTCTTGTTGAGAGAACGGTGCCCTCTGCGGCGCCAGCCGTGCTCGCGACGTCATCGTGTCGATTTTGAGAGTAGACTTGATTCCGCCGCTTCGCCGTCAGCGGCCCGCAGGGCGCGATTTAAGCCCGACCGGGCTAAAAATAAATATTGTGCAAGTGTGAGGAGGAAAAAAAGCACCGAAGGAGGGGCTCGAACCCTCGACCACAAGATTAAGAGTCTTGCGCTCTACCGACTGAGCTACTCCGGCTGATCTGATGAGTGTCATATATCTTCGGTTTCTGGACACCGTCCTCGATTCCGCCCGAGCTACACGATTCGTCGGGTTCACGAGACTGTCAGGAACCGGTTAGGCCGCATTTCCGCTGGTTGGAATACGGGTGTGGTCCCTGAATAATTCCGCATAAATATGGCCGTTCGCCCTTCAGAAAGGCCTGTGTGATCGAGTTGTATCACGGATGGAATTTAACTGTAACTCAATTTTCTCGCGCTCTTGGATTTGCGGTGTGCCGTATGCCCGGTACTACGCGAGCCAATCCCTTGGGCACTATGCGTGCAGCCTTCAATATAGAGGGACCACAGTTTACGGCACTCTTCTTTCTTGGCTTGAAAAAGTCGTTCATCGGCACCATTTCGCCCGATAACATACATGAACGAGCTCTGCATTTCGTCAGTTCGTTCGTGCTTTTTTTTTTTCTCTCGATGTTTTTCATGTAAGCCCCATATAGAGGGAAGGTTGACTGGGGAGAAAACCCCCCGAAAAAACCGGGGTGTCGTTCTCCTGTGCACAATAATGATTCCTGTTGGCACGTTCAGGAGAATTCATGAGCGGAAAAATCGACGTCCAGACTGGATCGGGTTGTCGACAACGCAGGTCACCGACAGGAGTTATTCCTTCCACACACACCCCAGGTAGTGCAGGTCTATCCATGGCGGTTGTTCTTTCTGTTTTTTATTTTCTGTTTTTAGGCATGACGGTTGGTTGTTGCGTGCGGATTGCTCTCACTATTGAGTACTCCGTATTGAGTAGCGCAATGCACGCCAGAGAGACTTGGCCTTTGGGTGGTGGAGAAAGGCTGCTTGTTAGAAAATTCTGCACATGCAATCACAAAGAGACTAATACCCGTTCGAGATATAACCACAGTTTGAACCACACTCTTTCTTTCGAGCTTGACATCCATTCCGAACGGCACGGTCAATCTTTTTTTTTTAATTTGCCACCCGTATCATCCATGCAAATAAGCTGTACCAGTAGTCCTTAGATCTACTTGTACCACCTATGCAATGAAGCGCGCCTTCGAGCCAGGATTTCCTATTCCCAAGGCCCTTCGCCGGCCAGGCGTGTGCACGAGTGTCCAAGTTTGTGTTGGCGGTGCCACGTGCTGGATGCTGAAGTTTAACGACGTCCTTTTCTTTGGTTCGATTTCCGGGTTCGGGTTGTTGGCGATGGACACATGGCGTGAAAAAAGTTCCACGTCATCGCTCGCATCCACAACCTGTCGTGCACTCGACTCGTTCTTGTTTCATAAGTAGTTGGAATGCAACTTCGCGTTCTACCCTACTCCATTCGCATCTCCAGTTTGCATCTAAATACAACGTCGTCTTCCGTATTGTCCACGGCAGAGAGACCCAATTTGTTATTATCTTCCTCTTTCCATGGTTCCATCTTTTCCTCGGCGTAGTATTTTTGCCAAGAAGCACTGCGCCGTGCGACTTTTTCTCTGGTTCTTCCATGAAGAGGAAAACAAACTCCTGTGTAAGCCCGGCTGACGCGCCACACACATGCACGGTAAGGTGTGTAGGCTGGCGCCAGAACAGATGGGACGAACGTGCACACACGCAAACGTTGCCTCTTATTCCCCTCTCTGGACCTTTCTCTCCCCTCCCACTCAGGTGAAGCAGATCCTCGGCAGCAGCTTCCCCTTCCCCCTGGACAACAAGAAGGTAGACCTGCCGGAGCTGCAGGGGGAGCCGCACGACGTCTCTAGGGAGAAGTGCCGCCTCGCTGCGGAGCAGGTGTGTTGTTTGTGTTGTGTGAGTGTTTTGAAACGAAACATCGACCGCGCAAAAAGCTGACCAATGGAAATATATCAGCCGTGCATGTATGCTCTTTTTTCAGTAGCGTGGACCGTGCTAAGGCGGCTGAGTAACCAATGAAAAGACGTCCGAGTCGGTGCGGCTGAAAACCAGAAAGCGCTTCCAAAGGCCGTCCGTCATCTGAGACCGACCTCGTGGGGGTGTATCACGGGAGACGCTATTTAGGGTGTTCTCGGGATTTAACGAGAGAAGCGGTACAAAGCAGACGAGGAAGAGCAAAAGGGTGCCTGCCTGTGTGTGCTTCTTTTAGTTGCTGCCCTTGTTGTTGGTGTTGCCGCTGTCGTTGTTGGTGTTGTTGCTGTTTTCTGGTGTTGTCGCTATCGTCGAACACTCCGTGGAAACCGATGTCACGCCGTGCCGTGGTTAGCGGCGGGACCAAATGTTGAAGATCGGATGGGTATGACAGCAGCGCTGTCTAAAGCTAGGGACGCCAAAGTTGTGGAGCTTCGTCGTCATCTGGTAGGCCGCTTTTTTTCCCCTACATCGGTCTCGGAACACAGGACAGCAACCTTTAAATCCTTCCTCGCCTATTTAGCATCCTCTCAATATGACAATCGAGGCAACGCCGGGCACTATTTTTTTTTTTTTTTTCGTTCAATTTGTTTGGTCAACGTCCTGATGAAGTTGAAGAAATGTTACCAGATATTCGTGAATGGCAAGAAACGTTAGTTGATCTACCTAAACATATTTTATTGCCGTTGTGTATTAGCGGCCTGTGAGAACCCGAAAAATCGAAATGCTTGCCTGTCAGCAGTCCACGCAGAAAAGGAAACCTGGCTTTTCCTGGGATTGTAGCGAAACCACAAGTGGTAATGTAATGTTCTAGAAGTCGACAAGAAAGCTCACGTTGATCTACCTACACAATTCTTCGTACGTGACAAGAACGGTTAGTTGATCCATTATACCTACACATGTAATTCCCATCGTGTAAATGAAGGTGCAAGGCCCGGTCATGGTGGAAGACACGGGGCTGTGCTTCAACGCTCTAGGCGGTCTGCCCGGACCATACATCAAGTGGTTCCTCGACGGCACCGGTCATGACGGGCTTAACGGCATCCTCGAGGGCTTCCAGGACAAGACGGCGTACGCCCAGTGCGTTTTCGCCTTCAGCGCCGGCCCTGGCAAGGAAGTCAAGGTTTGTGCGTAACTGCTGTTTTTTTTTTTTTCTTGCTTTCTTTGTAACCCAATGTCGTTGTTTGCCGTGTTGTTGTTGTTGCTTTGGTCGTCGTCATGGTTGTCATCTTTGGCGTTTCATTGGGTGTTGTTGTTTTTGCTGTTGTTGTTGCAGCTGCTGCTGTTGTTGTTGCAACTGCTGCTGTTGTGCGTAACTGCTGGGTTTTTTTTGTTTTCTTGCTTTCTTTGTAACCCAATGTCGTTGTTTGCCGTGTTGTTGTTGTTGCTTTGGTCGTCGTCATGGTTGTCATCTTTGGCGTTTCATTGGGTGTTGTTGTTGCAGCTGCTGCTGTTGTTGTTGCAACTGCTGTTGTTGTTGTTGTCGTCGGTTCATGATAACTGCTGTTACGTTGGCGGTGTTGTAATGTTTGGCATTGAAGCATTTGGGTCGCACATCCCCCCCCCCCCCATCTCAAATGTTTTGTTTTTTTTCTTTTTCTTTGGTTGCGCAGATTTTCGACGGCAGGACGGCGGGATCCATTGTGCCCCCGCGGGGGCCTACGAACTTCGGGTGGGACCCAATTTTCCAGCCGGAGGGGCGTGACGTCACTTACGCCGAGATGGCCAAGGAGGACAAGAACGCCATCTCGCACAGGGGGAGGGCGCTAGGAATGCTCAAGGTACAGTCGTGGTCCCGGTTCAGTCTAGAGGTCCATAGTGTCACAAAATGTTAAAACCGCTATTGAGAGCATCGCCGCTGAACCGGATTGGCAGTTATATTGTAGTTTAACCCCCGAGGTACAGCCAGCCGTGCCACGAAATGGCGGGATCGCTATTCAGGGCATCCCGCTCAACAGGGAACCGCTAAATATGCCGGGACCACGACTGTACTACAATGCGACGACTATTTACAGCAGTATCGGCACAGCAGCGGGCGATGCGTTGTTTTTTGCGGTGTTTCTTTGGCTGTCCTGGTGTTGTTGTTGTTGTTGTGGTGGTGGTGGTTGTTGTTGTGGCGGTGGTTGTTGATATTGCTGATGCGTTGTCGCGTCTTGGCGTCTCTCTTGGTGGTGCCCGCAGTATTTTACTGTTTCTCTGGGAGCGGTTTCGCGTGTGGAATCAACGCGATCTGGTGGAAGGGGGGGGGGGCGGTGGAAACGCTAGCACAAGTTACGAAGATGGAAGGAAATGTGGTAGATTTGTCGCGTGGCGGTCTCTCTCTCTTTCTCTCTCTCTCTCTCATCCTCATGACGTCGTGGAGATGGACATGTTTCAAAGTTGTGGTTGTATAGTTATTTAGGGTCTCTCAGCCAAATACCTCGCGGTGCTTCGCGCTTGGTGATGCGAGAGCCTTGTCCGGTGAGAACCCGGCGTGCTCCGTCCCGGCTTTGTAGGGATGCGAGGTCAATCGCCTAACCTCTAAGGCATGCAAAACATGAGTAACCCCCCCCCCCGCTCCCACCCACCCCCCCCGGTGTTTACCATCGGGATTGGGTTTTCGTCGCTTGGCAACGACGTTGTAAAACAAGCCAATTCACTTCGTGAACTCGGCAACCAGGTTACCGTTTTTTTTTTTCTACGTCGTTTTTTTTTTTGGCGGTAACCATAATGGTGGTCGAGTAGATCATGTTGTGCGGGGTGGAGAACCCTCACTCCGCGCAACGGGGGATGATCGCACCACGTTGTGTTAAAATGGTCAAGCACCCTCGAGGCAGTTACACAGTGCTTACAACTGTCTCTGGAAGTGAAAGCACCAGAAAATAAATTAAGTCATACGCAGCTGTCATCCGTACGCAAGGAAGTAAGCACAAGATGCCGAACACCCTTAGCAGGATGCAGCTCACCCTTCATGCGACTCGCCAAATACCTCACGGTGCTTCGCGCTTGGTGATGTGAGAGCCTGGTCCGGTGAGAACCCGGCGTGCTCCGTCCCGGCTTTGTAGGGATGCGAGGTCAATGGTCTAACGACTACGGCATGCACGACTATGAGTACACCCCCCCCGCGCTCCCACTCGCCTGATTTCGATACGAACTCCTTTCAGGGTTACGTGGCGGCCAACACGGACAAAATCGTGGGCGAGATGCACGCGGAAGGCGACGTGCGTGGGGAAGAAGACCGCGAAGGGGAGGGGGAGACAACAACAGCGGCAGCGGACGGGGGTGAGGGCGAGGCCGCGGCGATCACGTTCTTTGCCCAACCGGGGGAGGAGCGCGAGGTGGGTGGGCTCCCCCCCTCGGTACTAAACATAGCAGAAGCGCAGCAGCACACTTGGTACTGCTGTTGTACCACGTTTTTTTTGCCTGTCAGCATCATGCGCATGCCAATAGTGCAGGATCACTTTGTGTACACGTGCGACGTGAGCCGTTCGTATCTTGTTGGCATGTGTACACATGCCGCTCTTTACTCAAACCGGAGGAGCGCGAGGCGAGGTGTGTGGGCTCGCCGCGTTGTGCCTGTCAGCTGTCAGCACCATGCATGCGCATGTGTAAAAGTGTAGATACCCCTTGTGTTCAAAATTTGTGTTTTTTTATATGGTACACGCTTGCGTCGTCTTTTCTGTCGGGTTTGTCGAAGAAAACGCGTTTTTTTGACACATAGTTCGGCTTGTCAGGTTGTTGCGTGCGGATTGTTGAGCTTGAGAGAAAACTATAATTCGGCTTGAGAGAAAAAAAAAACTACGGCGTAAGAGGTTTTTGTTTCAGCTTGTCAAACCCTCCCTCACGTCGAAGCCAGCACCGCTGTCGCTGTACCACAGAATTTGTTTAGATTTTTTTTGTTTGCATGACCTGGCTGTGTTTGTTTTTTTGCAGAGCGTAACGAAGATGGCGTCACGGCTGCCGTCGTCCTTGAGGGTTGGCGTGTCGGCGGTGGCGCTGGCGGAGCTGCAGGGGGACACCACGGAGGCCCTCGTGGAGAAGTGCAACACTGCGGCGGCAAAGGTGCGTTGATTGTTGTTGCTGGTGTTGTTGTTGTTGTTGCTGGTTGTGGTTGTTGTTGTTGTCGCTGATGGTGTTGGTGTTTGTTGTTGTTGTTGTTGTCGCTGATGGTGTTGTTGTTGTTGTTGTTGATGTCGTTGTCGTCGACGTGGTGGTCGTTGTTATCGTTGTTGATGTTGATGATGATGTCGTCGTCGCAGGAGCCAGTGTTTGTTTTTGTCGATCGTTTCCATCCAATGGGGACGACTCAATCCACCTTGCAAAGCGGGCCGCGTTCTTGCTGTAGTTGGTCGCTACCAAGGGATCGATCGCCGTACACATGCCTTGCACCAATGGTTGTTTGTGGTGACTGCTGGACGACGACAAACCCCGGCCTCGCCACTACCCCCCCCGCGCTGATTGCCCCAGATCATCGGGCGATGGTGTTTGTACGTGTAGATATGAAGACAAGAGAGCAAGATTATGTCTAAGTAGCTCCGCCCTCGGATTCAATCCCGCACACACACGCTTCGAGCAGACATGGAAGGAAAAGCATTTTTTAGCCACCTTTGGTTGGCAAATTAGGAAGGAACGACACTAACCATCGGTGATGGGTCCTGTGGGAACAATGCTCCGTCCTCTCGAGGAGGACGCGTGGTCAATGGCCCAGCAGCTAAGGCATGCAAGGCACGATTACGCTCCTCCCCGCACTTCGAACTGCGACTTTAACCTTAAGACGACGTGGTTGTTGTCGTGAGCCCGGCACCCGCGCTCACCCCCCCCCTCCATGCGATTCGCCGAATACCTAACGGCGCTTCGCGCTTGGTACTGTGAGAGCCTGGTCCGGTGCGAACCCGGTGTGCTCCGTTTCGGCTTTTGTAGGGATGCGAGGTCAATGGCCAAACGACTACGGCATGCACGGCCATGAGTACACGCCGCGCTTCGGACAGATCGGGTAGCGAAAAAGAGTTTTTGAGACAGTTAGTAGGAAGGAACGATTGACCATCGGTGATCGGTCGTGTGGGAACAGTGCTCCGTCCTCTCGAGGAGGACGCGTGGTCAATGGTCTAACCGCTAAGGGGTGCAAGCCATGATTTCGTTCCTCCCCGCACTTGGAACAACGTCTTCGAGTGAAGGACGGCGTGGTTGTGACCAGAGAGCCCGGCACCAGCGCTCACCCCCCCCCCCCCCGCTTCCAATTTCTAGACGAAGGGCGCCGTCATCGTGGAGAGCTCCTCCCTGGCGTTCAACGCCCTGGCGTCGCTGCCGGGCCCCTACATCGCAGCCTTCGTGGGCAAGCTCGGGGCTGAGGGCCTGCTGAGCCTCTTGGAGGGGTTCGAGGACAAGACGGCGGTCGCGGAACACCGGGTGGCGTTCTCGGCGGGACCTGGCGCGACGCCAAAGGTTTTTTTTTTTTTCGCAGCGCGGCGTACCACACCCAAAGCATTCTTTTGGTTTGTGTTTTTTTCTTGACAACAACCACGTTGCATTTTAGTTTATTGCTGTTTCTGTTTGTATCAGAAATAATAGTGATTTTATGTTGTTTTTGTTGTGTATCTTGCTGTTGTTGTGTTTGCAAGACTTAGCTCTAGATACTGGTGTTGAGCGCCTTTGTGAAACTGCCTGATAGTACAGATGGCGCCTCGCTGATTTTTTTTTTACCTGCCGCGCTATGCATATGTCCAACACCCCCAACAGGTATTCGACGCAAAGGTTGCGGGGAAGATCGTGATGCCGAGAGGGGTTTCCAGTTTCGAAGGAGGCGATGCCAGCGCCAGCAGCGGGTGGCACCCGGCCTTCCTGCCGGACGGCTCCGATGAAACCGTCGGCGAGATGGCGGAAGGCTCCGACCAGAGAGAGGCTTCTTTGCCCAGGGGTGCCGCGATACGAGCTCTTGAGGTGAGTGAGAAGAGGAGGAGGGGGGGGGGCAGGCCCGTGTGTGTCTTTATTGTTTGCATCGACCGGCTGACAAAGTGACAAGGTGTCAGTCTCGTGCGCTTTTTTTTTTTTTCACTTCAAATCAGCGCACACAGCACTTTGTGCTGTTTACGCCAGCCAACCCGTGGTCATACAAAAGGGTTATTCTCCCTGAGCACCCTTAGCCATCCCTCCAGCGGTAGTTTGCCTTCCATTTGTAATGCGAGAAGAGTGCAGCGCTCTCTTCCCTTTAAAACAGAAAATGTTTCTAAAGGCCGTGGTCGGGACCCGTGTATGTGCGCGGGCGTGTTTTATCCGTTAGGATCGACCGAGCTACTGTAGCCACGACTGGCCAATGAAAAAGACGTCCATTCGCAGTGCGGCGAAAATATCACGGAAAACATGTTCTAAAGGCTTCGTGGCGGCCTTGCTAGCTCACCCGCGGTCTACCCGCGGGAGACGCGGTCTGCCGGTCACGGACATGATTTGAAGCGTTGTGCTTTATCGAAGCGACAGGCAGACCGAGCCCAGAGAGCGCCGGCGCTTGAGAACCTCTAATTTTGGCCGAGCCCGTGGTTCGCGGCTAGCGCCCGCACTGTCAAGAACCTCTATTTAGTTGTGGCCGAGGCTGGGGTTCTTTTGTTCCTTGGGTTAATCTAAAATAGATTGTTGAATGAAGTTTGATTGTAAATGGTGTTCTTTAATTAGTAGAATCTTTACAGTTGCGTTTGGTTTTAGATCTAGAAGTGGTCTATGTATAGGCTTTAGTGTGGGAGTTGGTTGCCGAGCTCACAAAAACGGCGCTCAAGTTTCTAGATTTTGAGTGCTTTTTGGCTCAAGTTATTTACTGCCAAGTCTTGAAAGGGCGGGCGCTATCTGTGCATGCGCCGGCACGGCATTGGGGAAGGCTGTCGTAGAGCGCACACGCCGGCACAGATGCATCAACCATAGTGCGCCACACGTGCACCGTCAGCGTCACCTCCGCGTGTAGCGCAGGGAACAGGGGGGGGGCGGCGACTGGCTGGCGATGACGTCACCTTGGTGTTCTCTACCTACCACATAGCGTTACGACACACATGGCAGAAAGACCGACACTTCCGAAAGAAAATACCTCTCTCGCGCGTACGAATGAGGTATTTTTTGTGTTCCCGTGAGCGTTGAGTGGTTGGCAACGCAGCCTGCGCCAGCCAAGCGTGCGGCTCATTTCATCCTCATTCAGAGATTCTCGTTGCTGGTTTGAGGGTTAGGGTTAGGGTTAGGGTTAGGGTGGTTTGTTTGGTTGTCACGATACGGGGCGGTGCGTGTCGACGGTGCTGTCATGAAAAAGCGACAAGCAAGCACGGACGGATCGACTAATCAACGCGATAAAGTTTTTTTAGTACGTGAGGGTGAGCGGACTGGGCTTCATTGATCCTTGTCCTCGGACGCCCTCACGGCAAGAAACTACCGAGCTATTGGGGTATATAAACACAGCGGTACAGACGAAAACAGTTTTTTTTTTGCTTTTATGTCCCCTGTCCCCCTACTCGCTCAGCTGCCGGCCTCTATCCCCTCGCCGCCGTGTGTTGTTGTGCCAACTAACTACTACGTCAGGAGTTTTTGCTGGCCAACGCCGAAAGTGTTTCGGGCCAGATCGAGACGTGCCGGGCTCAAGAGGACCCTTGAGGTTTTCGAGACGCCAGAGGCCCGGGGCCGTCTGGCGTGTGCTCATCATGTCTTCTGCACGTGGCCTTTGCCGTGGCCAGGGTGACCACGAGAGTCGCATACACACGTGATGGATACAGGACAGGCCCGCCGGGAGTTAGTAATCGCGGAATTGGGGTCTTGGATCATTTTGTTATTTTTTCGTCGCCACCGGCGTCGAGCGCAGGTTGTTATTTAGGTACAAGGGTTAAGTGTAAGATACATTATTTTCGTAGCTTTTTCGTAGATCTGACAGGGAGTAATCGATCGTAGATTCGCAACAACGCGAGACTGTCAACTTTTGTTGAAAGTACCACGTGCGCTACCTACCCTGACCTTGTTTTCTTCATTTTTTGTTCGTGAAAATGTTGAGCCTCTATTTTTCCAACGGATGGTTCTTTCGGAGCAAGTGCCCGCTCTTTATGTGATCTTGTCGTTGTAGATCACCCTGCATACTCTCTTTGATTCTACTTCGGAGCCCCCAGAATGCATCCGAGTCCCTAAGTAGCGTATTCGGTCCTAGGTGTTGTCACGGGCGAGCGATGATCTGTAGACGATGTGTTCCATGGAGCAGGCGTCTTTCCGTGGGCAAGCTACTCGTTTCTTACCGTGCACAACGTGGTTGGCGTCCTGGGTGCGCGTGCAGATAGATACAGAACGGGCCACCACATAAGAACCTCTATTGTAGTTTTGGCCCGGGGGTTGTTACCATATTCCTAGGGTCATGCTACGAATGGTCGTTCTATAGGTTTTAGTGTAGGCGTTCTTAACCGAGCTCACAACAAGTGGTGCTCAAGTTCTTTAATTTTGATTTTTTTTTTTTTTAGGCTCAATTTCTTTAAACTCCTGGGTTCGTAGGTGCGGGCGCGTTCTGTATCTGTGCAGGATTGTTCCTACTGTGGTATCTCTACAGGGTTGTTCCTATAGCTGTAGAGCGTACGGTACACTTCATCGACAATCAGCGCGCCACCCGTCCGTCCGTCCGTCTGTTGCTGGTGCTGGTTGGTCGATCCCGAGCCACCAACGAAACGTTTACGATTTGTGGTACAATGTTATACGACTTTTTCGTACAATGTGCCTTTGCGTTCCCAACGATTGTTTTTGTGGTACAACATACCCGTCGCCACTGATTGGTGCTCTTAAGGGTGAAAAAGAACGGTGCTTTGGTGCCGTCTTGCTAGGGCGGGAGGGTTATTGTCCCTCCTGACGTTTCTGCTAGCGGCAATGCGGTGGTGGTAGTGTTGTCAAGCGGCATCAGTTGGAAGGTACTGAACAGAGACCGGAACGGTTATTAATGTCAAGACAACACCGCCAACAACAAGAACAACAACAACAAGAACAACAATCATGTCGGGTCCAGGCTCAATTTCTTTTTACGTTGCCAACGCTGTCGAGAACAAGTTGCTCCAGACCCGAAAATCATCATCTATCTCAGAAAATCCACTGGTTGGTGGGTGTGCACAAAGAACTCGACTCGACCCAGATACCATTTCTTCCAAGATGCAGGTTTTCGATTGGGGAACGTTCTATCACCGCGCGGAGTCAAGAGCTCAACATTCTGTTCTCCATTTTCATCACCCGGTAAAACAGCGTTCACAGCATTTCTGTAGGAGCTCGAGTCTGTAGTCACACAGAAGGACGGAAGACAGAAAATACAGGAGTATCCCGGTTCAGCGGTCCATAGTGTCACAAAATGTTGAAACCGCTATTGAGAGCACCGCCGCTAAACCGGATTGGCAAGATGTATTTAAGGTTGACTACAGAGCGAGGTGCAGCGGTGCCACGAGATTATGGGATCGCTATTCAGGGCATCCCGCTAATCCAATTAACCGCTGAATAAACCGGGACCCCGACTGTACTCGAAGCATGGCCGTGCCCGAGCTTCCCCACAGATCGTTGCCTGGTTTCCGTCCTGCCCACTGAGAGGATGACCTCCTTCGCGAGGACTTTATTTTTTCATCCATGAAATAGAGAGGGGGAGGGGTTCGTATCCCTACACCCCAAACGCCCACACCGTATCCTCTACTAAAACCAATATTACTATCCCCCCCCGTCAAGGCTAATGCACTGAGGGGGGGGCTGATCAGTCGGACAGCGCCGTCAACGCCATCATCAACCGACCGGACGCACATCGCACCCACACACGTTTGATTGAGCCAATTTCGATTCGCTAATGTTGAGGTGTGTGTGCTCTTCCGATCATCAGCACGGACATAATGGAACACGGCCCATAAAGGACGGAAAATACAAACAAACGACACACTACCCGCCAAAAGACACTCCGGCTTTTGTGACGTCACGCATAATTTATCTTGAAGAAAAGTAAGGTGCCACTGCGGGACCCACAACACCTCCCACCCCACGCGAAACGTGCAGTATGCATGGGTGGCACTATGTTATACCGCTACGCGCGTTGAAGCCGTTACTCGTGCGCGACTCTCTCCCCACCCCGCAGGAGGGGGGGCTAACCGTAGGTTCCCATACGCATGATATCATACCCCCCCCCCCCTTGAATCGATTCTTTAAAGCCCGACTACTCCAGTCAAACATCACATGTTCGCGGAAAGGCACTCTCGACAAGACGACGCTTCCAACGCCGCCGGTTTCGGCAGCGTCGCTTTACATAGCTGCACAACAGCAGAGCTTTGAAAAAACGGTCCAGGGAGGGCGGAATCTCACGCAACCCAATGATAAACCTCTACATGGCATCTCCTGTCAAAGGTTTCCCCTCTCCCTAAACTCCCCGCGAAGCGGCTTCCGAGAAGGGGAAAAAAACAAAAAGGGGCTCCGTAGGCAGATAGAAGGCCGCTCGCCCCCCCCGCAGCACCAAAACATGTGTGCCAGTTCAACAACCACGTCACACACCCCTCAAAGGAAAAATGCAAGCAACGAAACCATGAGCGCCAGTGCGACAACCATCTCGCCCCCCCCCCTCCCCCCCCAATGCATGGAAAAATGCCCCCCGCCCCAAGGCCGGAAGATGGGCGAGTACCAAATCCCAACCACGTCACCCCCCCAAACAAAAATAAAGAAAAGAGATACGCCACAAAAACATGGCCTGCTGTCCTTTTGTTTCAAGTACAAGTAGGCCCATTAGTTTTAGTCCTCCGTCTCCATGAGGGCTCTCGCTTTCGACGCTGCCGCAGAGGCTTTCTGCTCACCAGCGAGGACAGGGGGACGAGAGGGAGGTGCGGAGAGAGAGGGGGGTTAGAGGGGGCAGAACTCACGTGTTGGCCTCTTCAAAGGCACGTAGGGTGGCGACACAGGATCGATCGAGAGGCAAATAACGGACACGAGACGTACACAAGTGTTGTAGTAACGACAGGAAAAAGTGGGGGAAGGGGTTAGGGCGCCGTGGATCCCACCGCAAAGGATGAAGTGCCACGAATGACAGAAAGAAAGCGCGCACACACACAATGGCAATGGCAGCAATGGAAACGACACCACGACACGTCCAACACTGATGACGTCAGCAAAAAAACCTACACCTGCAGCACACCTAAACGACAACAACAACGACCACAACAAAACGATACGTTAAACGACGATGGCGTTACCAAGAACCCTACGAGCTGCGACTACAACAACAACAACAACACGACAACTGCCACTATAACAACAGCAGCAAGACCCTTCCAGCTACATACAACCTCTTTTTTCATCTGCGGGCTGTTAAGCCCTCTGATTGGTCGAGTGCACGGCACGTGCGACAATAACAACATCAGCAAAAAACTGCAGCTGCACCACACCTCAACGACAACGACAACGACAACGACGACAAAAACGAACCAGCTTGGGTACCATGTACACACCTGCTTGGCCTTGTCCGAGATGGCCGTGAGGGTCTTCTCCCTGTCCACCGCCGCCGCCGGAGCGAGGAGTTCGATGTTGTCCTTGATCTCGGCCTTGATGGCAGCCTTCTCCTTGGCAAGGGCTCCCTTGTGCCTGTTCTCGAAGAACCGCTTCTCCCTCTTCGCCTGGACCTCCTTCACCTAACAAAAAAAAAAAAAAAATGGTGTTGTAGGCTTAAATAGATTCAAAACAAGCCAAGCACCCAGTTACCTCTGTTGTTGTCTTCACATTAAACCTTTGCTTTAGAGCAAAGAAAAAAAATGTATAGGTTGACATAGACATAAAAAATAAGTCAAGTATCCAGAAGGTGTTTCTACTACTCGCTCTCAAGACTTTCAGCACATGCCCTGCGACTACTGCTGTGGTAATATCTCGAACGGGGAAATATTTCTTTGATGGTATGTATATTGTAGTTTATTTCCTTATAAGGACGTCCAAATTTCTTCCGCGCGAGTAGAACGTAACGAACACACCTGGCACACACTTTGATTCTGCTGTCAGTATTTCTACAAGCTTATTCTTTTCCCGGTGTTTTCCGGCGCCGTATGCGCAGTTTTACAGCAGCGACGGGCCATCGGAAGAGACAACCTGGGGTAGCAACATGCATGCTGTGCACACCAATCAAACTCAATCTGTTTGCGTTTTACAACGGTTTTTCTAGAGAGAAGCGAACTCGCGGCGTTTTTTTCCCACCTTCTTCATGGCGAGGAGAGTCTTCCCCATGGCCTCCCTGTCGTACTTGACTGGCCTATTCCGCCGCTTCTCGAAGTCGAACGTCGTGTCCTGATTGGTCAAGATGAACACAACGAGGCGGCAACGCAACAAGGGCGCGCGGGGGAGGGGGGGGGGGGTCACTCTCACGACTGATGACCAACCAAAACCACTTGTGCATGCAGCGGCAACACAGATCAGGATGAGGGGTAAATCATCCCTGTCCAGGGAGACTGCCGTACGGCCTTGTCGCCTTCAATTCCGCATTTCCCTACCGGTTTCCCGCCGAACTACCGCTCACACCCCCGCACACAAACAATTCCCACACGACAATTAGGTATTGCAAGCTCAGAGAGGGAACGCTGTTGTTCCCAGGGTGCCGCTGATAGACCCTCCACTCAAAATCCCACACGACCATACGTAGTGCAAGCTATAAGAGCGGGAACGTTGTCTTTTTCCGATATTATAGATGGCAAAAAAAAAAAAAAAATGAAAAAAAAGAAAACGTTACCCCCCAACGAAATCTCCTTTCCGGGCGCCCGCCCAAAAGCCCTTGGGCCCATTTTTATTTTCCCCGGAATTTCTCTTCTCCCGTGAAAATTTTTGTGGGACATTTGGATCGGCCAAAAACCAAACACCCTTTGTGGGGGGGGGGGGGGGGGGGGGGGGGGGG